ATAAAAACAAGTTCCCGTTTTGAAACTGATGGTCTGTTCTTTACCAGAAGGAAGTGTAAGAAAGCTGAAAACTGAAAAGTAACTCGAGCTGTCAGACAAATGTTGTGGAGAATAAAGTACAAAATGTTTCCTTTGAGCTATAGTTGTTCAAGTTCGAAGGCTTTATTGTCATATGCACAGATACAGTGTCACTATGAAATGAAATCTTAAGTCACAGGCTCCTCCAACAACGCAACATACATATGACATAAAAAATAAAATAATGCAGGAGAAGTTAAATATATGCCGAAGGGTTTTGACATTTGTCTGTGCCCTCATACCAAAATGCAGGTTTTTAAGGGATGCCAAAAAACAATATCTCTGTTCGCCAAAAACTGTATAATCACCAAAATTAAAAATATGAAAACCGTGTCAAAGAGAGCGTCAGACGGCATAGACAGCTTTGTTTTTACGTAGCTCCGACATCGCGTTGTTGTTTACGTCCTAGGCGCCATCTTGTATAAGGGCGTCATGTTCTCGCAATAACTGATATATCTGATATACAAGATCAGCGCCACAGTATTGCCCTCATACTATATTTTTCTAGAAAAACCCCTTTGCAGGTAATATAGAATAAAATGAGCTAAAAATAGAATGTAAAATGAAGTGCTGTACAGTTAAGCGTATTCTGTAATGTAGCATAAAACAATAATATTGAAGTAAAAACAAGTACCTGAAAGTTATGCATGAGTACAGTTCTACTGCCTGCTAACTAACCCTGTGAGTAAGATGTATGACTTTCTGATGTGACCAGGACGTTAACACCAGATCTGCCTGTTTACGTTTTTCTTCCCTAAACCAAATCATTTAAGGGATCAGTGTCAGCAGCGGGGGTGCAGTGTTACGTCAGTGTGTAACAGTAGATGTGTGTGTCTCAGTGTGTAGCAGTAGAGGTGTGTGTCTCAGTGTGTAGCAGTAGATGTGTGTGTGTCTCAGTGTGTAGCAGTAGAGGTGTGTGTCTCAGTGTGTAGCAGTGTCTCAGTGTGTAGCAGTAGAGGTGTGTGTCTCAGTGTGTAGCAGTAGAGGTGTGTGTCTCAGTGTGTAGCAGTAGATGTGTGTGTGTCTCAGTGTGTAGCAGTAGAGGTGTGTGTCTCACTGTGTAGCAGTAGAGGTGTGTGTCTCAGTGTGTAGCAGTAGAGGTGTGTGTCTCAGTGTGTAGCAGTAGATGTGTGTGTAGCAGTAGAGGTGTGTCTCAGTGTGTAGCAGTAGAGGAGTGTGTAGCAGTAGAGATTTGTGTAGCAGTAGAGATGTGTGTCTCAGGCCCCGCTCACACGGGACCGTTTGCGTTTATGCACAGTATGCGTATTCAAAAAAGTCTTCCGTTCACATGCATTTGTTTCATTTAACGTGTCTGTTCAAACGAGGCCGCTGGAAACGCTGTAGTACATATGCTGGGACTGTAAGTGGCGCTGTAACTTCCGCCAAAATACACCAAAAGTAGCGAAGAAGAGCAGCCCAGCAGCCCCCGCCGCAATGTTGCCATGGCTACCCTTCTGCGGTGTATTTAGCAACATGTAGTTCATGTAATTCTCCATGTCCACTTGTTGCTGATGGTTGTGGTAGAGGAGCTGTATATTTTTGCACTAATATCTGTAGCATGGTCAGTAGCAGTAGCACTAGCAGTAGCTACTGACAGGAGGAAGTGTGTGTGGTGATTGCTGGTATTCAGCGGGATATAGTCATTTCCTCAGCATATGGATAAATGCAACGGGGAAGTTAACTGAAAGAAACCGAATCTGTGGATATTGCATCCCGACCAAGAAGCACGTCTCCGTGGAGAGGACGGCTCAGAAAGAGAGATATTCTCTACAAACACCGGGTGAGATCCTCCATGAAATCTGACTCTGTTTATTTTGTTTAAGGAGTATATTGGGCGTTAACAATTCTGGTTTGCCTTTTATAATATTATTTCATTCAAGAACCCCTTGCGCGTTTAATTAACACAGCTATTTTTGATAGTTGCTACAGCAGTGAACAGGAGAGGTGGGGAGAGGCGGGGCTATCGCTATTTTTTCAGGAAATATTCGTATAGAGGTGATTACACGGACTCGGTTGACCCCCCAGAGCGTTTCGTTTGCAAATCTATCCACCTTGGGACCCGTTATCGTTTGTGGGGTCAGTTTCTATCGGCCTCGTGTAAATAATAGGGCTATACGCACGTGAAACTATGCAGATACAAGCAGTTTTCTCCTCGTGTAAACGGCGCCTCAGTGTGTAGCAGTAGAGATGTATGTCTCAGTGTGTAGCAGTAGAGGTGTGTGTAGCAGTAGAGGTGTGTGTAGCAGTAGATATGTGTGTCTCAGTGTGTAGCAGTAGAGGTGTGTGTCTCAGTGTGTAGCAGTAGATGTGTGTGTGTATCAGTAGAGGTGTGTGTAGCAGTAGAGGTGTGTGTATCAGTAGAGGTGTGTGTCTCAGTGTGTAGCAGTAGAGGTGTGTGTCTCAGTGTGTAGCAGTAGAGGTGTGTGTCTCAGTGTGTAGCAGTAGAGGTGTGTGTAGCAGTAGATGTGTGTGTAGCAGTGTCTCAGTGTGTAGCAGTAGAGGTGTGTGTCTCAGTGTGTAGCAGTGTCTCAGTGTGTAGCAGTAGAGGTGTGTGTCTCAGTGTGTAGCAGTGTCTCAGTGTGTAGCAGTAGAGGTGTGTGTCTCAGTGTGTAGCAGTAGAGGTGTGTGTCTCAGTGTGTAGCAGTAGAGGTGTGTGTCTCAGTGTGTAGCAGTAGAGGTGTGTGTCTCAGTGTGTAGCAGTAGAGGTGTGTGTAGCAGTAGATGTGTGTGTCTCAGTGTGTAGCAGTAGAGATGTGTGTCTCAGTGTGTAGCAGTAGAGGTGTGTGTCTCAGTGTGTAGCAGTAGAGGTGTGTGTCTCAGTGTGTAGCAGTAGAGGTGTGTGTAGCAGTAGAGGTGTGTGTCTCAGTGTGTAGCAGTAGAGGTGTGTGTCTCAGTGTGTAGCAGTAGAGGTGTGTGTCTCAGTGTGTAGCAGTAGTGGTGTGTGTCTCCTGCAGCTGGTTGAGACGCTGTCCGACTGGTTTCCATCCGATCCAGTTCCTCTGACAGCCGCCGGCCTGCAGCAGATATTACAGTTCACTCATTGTCCTGCACTCAGACCCTAGTTTAGTTCATACACTCTGGGAAATGATGAATTGCTGTTTTAACACTTCAGTTTGTGCACAGATGACATATAATATGTTAATGAGGGAGCTTTGGAGGTGATAGAAGGTGGATTTTGTTACCTTTCTACAGAGCCAGGGCAGCTGTTTCCCCTTTTTCTAGGCTTTCAGCTGAGCTATGCTAACTGGTTGCTAGCTGTAGCTTCGTTTTGCAACCAAGAAAATGGGAACTTTAATAAAAAAAGAGAAAGTAATTCATATGCAGCTTGTCAAACTTCTCCTTTTGAGCAAATCTTATTAGTTCAGTTTTTGTTTGTTCTCTTTGATCACAGAGAAACCCTAAAAACACATGTCCTCCTATCAGTGTCACTTTGACTCGGTTGGTCTTCATGTAACAGGTAAAACTACATTTTGTGACATGTCTCCATGCTCCAAATTTGAAAAAGCTCTTTATTTTTCTCATACTGCCTGTGCTGCAGCACCTCTTTTCACCCTCTGTCTGAAACCAGAGCCCAGTCTGCTCTGATTGGTTAGCTGGACGGCTCTGTTGTGATTGGTCAACGGCTTAGAGATATCCTGCCCCTTAGCAGAAGCGCTAGTGTGGAGGGAGCTTTGGGATTTTAGCCTTTGCAGACCATTTACATGCACAAAAACCTATATACCACACTACAGGAAAGGCATCATAGGGCTTCTTTAAAGTGACTGCAGACTTGGTTGTTCTGTTAGCCATTTCCAGAAGTTTTTCTTTCTCAGATTGTGGTTTGCAAGGAGACATGCTGCTCTGTTTATCAATCATTGAACCTGCACTCACTGTGTTTTGTTTCACTGCAGTCGAGCTGGGATCCGTTCCACATTAATCTAAGTGAGTAGGAAGAAGGGAATTGTACACAGTGAGAAGTACTTTCCTGTTTACAGATATCCTTGCTCTGCTTATTGCACCAAACCAGAAACTGATGTTATGATGACCTCGGTCGTATGTAGCCTCCACTGTAGGCGAGGGATCCTGTTTCACACCTGGTATATAAACCATAAGACATGTTAGTTGATATTAACCCAATCAATACAAGTCAAGGGGTCTCTTGTGCTTCTAAGGGTCAGAGATCTGTTGTTTTTTGTGTTTAGGTACAGTTTTTAAACTCTGCAAGGTGTCTCTTTTCACAACCTCTGTTAAGGTTTGCTGATATAGTTGTTTTGCAAGATGGTAAACGGCTATATCATCTGCATACATATGGATTGCGGTCGTCTTTCAACCAGAAGGTTATGAGTTTGATCCCAGCCAGTGCACACAACATGTCGATGGGCAAGATACTGAACCCTGAGTTGCTCCCGATGGCCAACGGTGTGTGAATGTTAGTTCCTAGAGCAAGCTACACTGCTCTGTATGAATGAGGTGTGAATGGGTAAATGACTTGTAGTATGTAAAGCGCTTTGAGGGGTTGAAAAGACTGGACAAAACGCTTTATAAGTACAGTCCATTTACCATTTACCATAGAGGTCAAAGTGCGCTTCCCTGTGGAACTCCTATTCTGCATTTGGGCGAGTGTGGTGCGTTAACATCCTGTCTTCTTTGTAGAGAGCTGTTTTTTTTACTGCACATATTTTATATTTTATTCCATTCTATTTCAATGTAAATAATGCTATATTTTATTTTACTTTTTAAAATTATTTTTTAATGTTATTATAGTTTTCTTAAAATAGTTTTCTATCTGTGTTTTTAATTATTGTTTTACTTTTATGTATGCACCACGACACCAAGTCAAATTCCTCGTACGTGTCAACCTACCTGGTGATAAACCCGTTTCTGATTCTGATTCTATCATTTAGTTCAGATTAATCTAAATGTTTATATTAAATCTGTTTCAGAAAAAGACTTCAGACGCTCTCCCAGATCCTCCGGCCCCTCCCACCAAATCAGCGAGTCGCCACAGTCTGCCGCCATGTCGCAGCGCCGTGACGTCCAGCGCAGACGAGCAGCCGCACGTCGGCAACTACCGCCTGCTGAAGACCATCGGGAAGGGAAACTTCGCCAAAGTCAAACTGGCCAAACACTCTCTGACCGGCCGAGAGGTGAGAACACAGTTTGTTTGTATTACAGTATATGTATTAATCAAATCGAACTTTATTTACATAGCCCTTATCATACACACAATGTAGCATCATGTGCTTCGCTAACCAAAAAAAACAATATTACCCCTCCTCATTCCCAGCTAATAACACTTAAAGGTGGGGTAGGTAATTTTGGAGAAACCGGCTCGAGATCGCTAGAATTTGAAAATACACAGCCGGAAAAAATCTGCCACTTCCTTACAGAGCCCCTCCTCCAACACACACGAACGCGCACATGACCAATGAGGGCACGAGATAAGTTTGTGCACAGATGGAAGGCTGACAGGCAGGTAGGCCATCCAGTTATTTTAGCCGGGCTGGCTAAAATGATTGGTCGTGCTTTTTACAGTACTACGGCTTCCACAGATGACATTTTTTTATGGATTTTTTGTCAAAGCACTTCAGATATTCATTGCTATCGGGATGTTAAGAGCATTCCATGGAATATAACAAAAAGTGTATCTCGAGCCGGTTTCTCAAACTTACCTACCCTACCTTTAACCTTGTGATTGACAACAACAAAAAAATCTTAATTCCAACAGAAGTGAAAAAAACACACGACTGAATAAAACGAGAATAAAATCATAAAATAAGAATAAATACAATTCAATTATAATCTTAAAAAGCCACCATTTTCTTCTGGGAGGCTGATCCACAATCATGGGCTGTAATAATAATAATAATAATACATGATACTTGTATAGCGCTTTTCTAGACACTCAAAGACGCTTTGACAGAGAATAAAAAACAACGACAAAAAAACAAAGAAAAGTACAAAAAGAGATAAACAAAACAGAAAATAGGGGGGGGGGGGTCAGTGGTTGAATGCAGTGTTGAACAGGTGGGTTTTGAGTGATGTTTTGAATGCGGTGAGGGAGGAAGAATCTCTGATGGATTGGGGTAGTGAGTTCCAGAGGGTGGGTGCAGCAACGGAGAAGGCTCTGCCGCCCCAGAACTTGAGGTTGGTCCGGGTGGGGGGGGGGCAGGAGGTTGGCAGCAGCAGAGAGGAGGAAGCGAGTGGGAGTGTGTCTGTGGAGGAGGTCAGTCAGGTAGGATGGGGCCAGGTTATGGAGGGCTTTGTTTGTCATCAGGAGGATTTTGTACTGAATTCTCTGGGGGGGGGGGGGGGAGCCAGTGGAGCTTGATGAGGGCGGGGGTGATGTGTTCACGGTGTGGGTGAGTAGACGGGCGGCGGAGTTCTGGATGTATTGAAGTTTGTTGAGGATTTTTGCAGGTGAACCATAGAGGAGGCTGTTGCAATAGTCCAGACGGGAGGTGATGAAATAATATAAAGAAGCCTCATCATGGGTCTTTGTTATAACATGAAAAACAAATGATTTGAAGGACAGTAGCAGAAGATCTTCAGGGTTCATAAGTCAAAAGCAAATCTCATAAATAGCAAGGACCAAGACCATTAAGAGCCTTATTGACTGACATTAAAGGGTTTGCAGTAGTGAGGCTTCCTCTTTGAGGTTTGCAGAGGAGGATCAGGTGCATGCAGTTCTTCTACAAACAGGAAGTCAGTTTTGTAGTTGAACTTCTGGTGTAGCGTCACATGGATCATTGAGGTGATTCAGGAAGTTCAGACACTTCTTTTATAATCATAACTGAATCTAGAGGTTCAAAGTTCTTTATTGTGTCATACGAACATAGCCGATGAAATTCTTAGGTCACTTCTCCAACAGTGCAAAACATACCTATTTTTCCATTGCAAATAAACATCTGCAAATCCTCTTAGTAATATGAATAAAATAGACTGCACATATCTGCCAAACTTGCCTGAGAATTGCCATGTGTTTAAGGTTTCTTTGGTTATAAAATACGTCGGTGATATTTCTCTATGCACCATGATTACACTGCAAAACGGCATACTTTTTAATGAAGACAATTTGCACATTTTTGCCCTCCAGTTATCTTTATTTTGTCTTAAGGCGTACTCACATAGAGCTAAAGGTGGCTTGAGTATATGTAAAGTATAAATATATAAGCCAAAATGATATCCAACCCATCATAAAGTGTCATTACTGCTCACTCTACTTTTTACGACTGTTAATGTTTAACACATACTGCTTGTTGTGGGCAAAGTCAAGAAACATCACACACACACACACACACACACACACACACACACACACACACACACACACACCTTTAATACACTGAGAACTCATAAAAAGTGTGATTTTAAATCTGAAATTATAATAATAAATCTTCATATCGAAAGAAACAAATTACATCATACCTCACCATAATGTCGTCTAAATGAGTTATTTCCATCTGCTTTTATTACCGGATATTTTAATTATATCTCAAGACGTTCTGATGCAGATTTAGACCATTTTATAATCTCACTCGGAGTCTCTGTGGGGTTAAATCTGCTGGAAACGTAACCCTTCAAAATAAATTATTAATGCTGCAGACGTCAGCAGCTGGGAGCCGATTGGTCAGGAGATCAAACAGAGTGTATGAGTGTGTGACGTTTTACACTTATTTTAAGATTTATTTTCCAAGTCAGAGCCGTCCAATCAGCTGCTGGGTTTCTCTCTGGAGACGCCCGGCGATGGTTGCTCTGAGAGGAGAAGCTTCATCTGCTGTCCTGCAGCCATTTTAATTTATTGATCATCTTTAAAGCATATTTTGGATCCGAGCCTGAAAATAATAAACTCTTTCACCCTGCTGAGTCAGTGTGTTCCTGTAAAACACTTTCCATTTGCTCTGCAGAAATTAGTTTAATGATTTAATTCTTTAGTACTTCATATGATTGCAAATCATACCCTTTTTTCCAGTAACGCTAAGCATCGGGAAGCGGGTTTGTTTAAAAGATGGAACTACAATGAGCTTCATGTAAAAATGTATTGAAGAAAGCAATGTAAAGAGATATAAAATTATAGATAGGTGCATCAGAATAATTTGATAAAGGCGGTAAAGCGTATCGAAAGAGCACTTTAGTCTTTTGAGGAAAGTGCTCTGTCTTGTTTAATTTAATTCACTTGTGTTACCAGGAAGTCTTACTGAAAACGCAACAATAAAACTCCCAACTAAACAGATAAATCAAAAAATTATGACATCAAGCTTCATCAAAATGTCAGTTTTACATTCTGTGTGTGTGTGCCTGCATGTGTGTGTGTGTGCCTGCGTGTGTGTGTGTGTGCAGAACAGGGACCGCCACATTGAAAAAACAAAATGTATAATATGTTTTTATATTTTTTCTGCAGGTCGCCATCAAGATCATTGACAAAACTCAGCTGAACCCAACCAGTCTGCAGAAGGTGCGTCTCATCTCTGACCTTTGACCTGCGTCCAAGCAAAAGCTCTATCTTAAATTTGAATGTGACGCTGGAGACTTAACTTCAGTCACTACTCACACAAAAACTCAACTAAAAGTATCTCAAAATTGTACTTAACTGCAGTACTCCACTAAATGCAATTCACTACGTTGCACCGCTGCGTTTACGGCGTTACAAGATGTCTGTTTCAAAAGCAAAAGCAAAAACTCCCACACATTTCAGCACAGGATTATACATGTACGCTTCGCCTTATTTTTTCAGTTAATGAGTAACCTGCATCCGTTTTTCTTAACCCTTTGTTTGAACTCATGTCATAACCATGCAAACAAAGGCACAATTGATGCTGGTCATTTTAAATATGTATTGTAATGAAGTAAATAAAGATACAGCTACTAATCTGACGTGTGTTAGTCAGTAATGTAGAAGTGGATGTGTGAGCATAACGTAGTGTTGACCTCTCACCTAAATTAGATAATAAAGTGGACAGTCATTATTAAATAATCATCTTCACTGATCGTTTTTACAGCTCTTCAGGGAGGTCAGTGTGATGAAGATCCTCAACCATCCCAACATTGGTGAGTCCACACCTCCTCCTCCTCCTCCTCTTCCTCATTCTCTTCTACCTCCTGCTTCATGTCTATATTCTCCTTTTTCTCCTCTTCCTCCTATTTTTCCTCTTTCTCGTCTTGCTCTTCCTCAAACTGCTCTTCCTCATCGTCCTCCCTTCTCCTCCTTTGGTAGTGCTCAGTTTTAAGTAGCATAAGAGCTCAGTATTTGGCAGCAGATTACTCAGTGTTTGGCTGAATTAGAGCTCAGTATTCAGCAGTAGAGCTCAGTATTTGGCAGCAGATTACTCAGTGTTTGGCTGAATTAGAGCTCAGTATTTGGCAGTAGAGCTCAGTATTTGGCAGCAGATTACTCAGTGTTTGGCTGAATTAGAGCTCAGTATTTGGCAGTAGAGCTCAGTATTTGGCAGCAGATTACTCAGTGTTTGGCTGAATTAGAGCTCAGTATTTGGCAGTAGAGCTCAGTATTTGGCAGCAGATTACTCAGTGTTTGGCTGAATTAGAGCTCAGTATTTGGCAGTAGAGCTCAGTATTTGGCAGCAGATTACTCAGTATTTGGCTGCAGTAGAGCTCAGTATTTGGCAGCAGATTACTCAGTGTTTGGCTGAATTAGAGCTCAGTATTCAGCAGTAGAGCTCAGTATTTGGCAGCAGATTACTCAGTGTTTGGCTGAATTAGAGCTCAGTATTTGGCAGTAGAGCTCAGTATTTGGCAGCAGATTACTCAGTGTTTGGCTGAATTAGAGCTCAGTATTTGGCAGTAGAGCTCAGTATTTGGCAGCAGATTACTCAGTGTTTGGCTGAATTAGAGCTCAGTATTTGGCAGTAGAGCTCAGTATTTGGCAGCAGATTACTCAGTGTTTGGCTGAATTAGAGCTCAGTATTTGGCAGTAGAGCTCAGTATTTGGCAGCAGATTACTCAGTATTTGGCTGCAGTAGAGCTCAGTATTTGGCAGCAGATTACTCAGTGTTTGGCTGAATTAGAGCTCAGTATTTGGCAGCAGATTACTCAGTATTTGGCTGAATTAGAGCTCAGTATTCAGCAGTAGAGCTCAGTATTTGGCAGCAGATTACTCAGTGTTTGGCTGAATAGAGTGGCGAAGTCCCTCCCACTTACTTCCGGGGTATGGGACCTTATTTCGGAAAAATTATGCATTGAAGTCAATGGGGAGAGAAAACTTATCTTTCGATCCCGTTTGAATTGTGCCATGAATTACACATATGATGTTTGTCAATCTTAAAAAATCATTTCCATGTCAAAAAAGTCACAGTTTGTCGTAAAACTGTTGAAATATAAGACTATGAAAAATACGTAACTAGAAAGACTACAAATCCCAGAGTCGCGTAAGTGATGTCACAATTGTTTACCTCCACCATTCAGATACCTAAGATCAGCGCAATATAGATATAATCTATCAATATGGCGCTGGCTAAGATAAGATAACTTTAACAAGATGCCTGTGTGCTTAGTACCAGGTTGTTATTATACCAGCAATGGGTCTTGCTTGTTCTTTTGCTTCCCGTCTGATGAAACGACCAGGAGTGGCTTGATCAAGTTAGCTACCTAGCTAGTAGCTAGCACGTTAGTTAGCATTACAGCCTTGTCATTTTTATTAGCCTTAACATGAAGTAACATTAAGTAACCCAAAATGTTAAACAGTAAGAGTAGTAGTCATATTTCGTGAACCCTTTGAATAGTACTGTCACCGGTGTGATCATTCTATAATACACCATTTAATTCCGGGGGAGAAATGCTAACGCTAACGTTAGCATCGGCGATCTTTTCTACTTCATGCTATCTGCACAAATGGTTGACATTAAACATTAAAACGACCAGGCAGTTCAGAGAGAATCAAAGGAAGGCAGGCAGGCAGTTCTGCATGACATTCTTCAGGACGTGTTTCATTGTGGTGATAGTCAATCGTTTGTTGACAAGACAGTAGTGACGGCCATCTTGGTGACGTGTGTGGTTGACCAGAGATGTAGTTCATTTAGCGTTTCACACAAACAAATGTGTTACTTCACAGTTTTACGACACATTTTATTTTTTTTGACTTGCAAAATTATCTTTTAAATTGACAAACATCATATGTGTAATTCGTGGCACAATTCAAACGGGATCGAAAGATAATCTTTCTCTCTCCATTGACTTCAATGCATAACTTTTCCGAAATAAGGTCCCATGGGGCTCCACCGGAAGGGGAGGGACTTCGCCACTCTATTAGAGCTCAGTATTTGGCAGCAGATTACTCAGTATTTGGCAGCAGATTACTCAGTGTTTGGCTGAATTAGAGCTCAGTATTTGGCAGCAGATTACTCAGTGTTTGGCTGAATTAGAGCTCAGTATTTGGCAGCAGATTACTCAGTGTTTGGCTGAATTAGAGCTCAGTATTTGGCAGCAGATTACTCAGTATTTGGCAGTAGAGCTCAGTATTTGGCAGCAGATTACTCAGTATTTGGCTGAATTAGAGCTCAGTATTCGGCAGTAGAGCTCAGTATTTGGCTGCAGTAGAGCTCAGTATTTGGCTGCAGTAGAGCTCAGTATTTGGCAGCAGATTACTCAGTATTTGGCTGAATTAGAGCTCAGTATTCAGCAGTAGAGCTCAGTATTTGGCAGTAGAGCTCAGTATTCAGCAGTAGAGCTCAGTATTTGGCAGTAGAGCTCAGTATTCAGCAGTAGAGCTCAGTATTTGGCAGCAGATTACTCAGTATTTGGCTGAATTAGAGCTCAGTATTCAGCAGTAGTGCTCAGTATTTGGCAGTAGTAATATATTTCTGCTTTTGTTCTTCAGTGAAGCTGTTCGAGGTGATTGAGACGGAGAAGACTCTGTACCTGGTGATGGAGTACGCCAGCGGAGGTAAGACCAGCTCACCTGTCAGTCATATATTAGAATATATAATGTATTTGTTAAGCACTTATAAAACCACATTATTAAATAGCGCTTAACACATAAATCACAACAATGAGAATAGAAAATCATGTTTGAATAACCTGGCAATTATAAGGAGAGAAGGAAACTAAACGTACAAACAATTCATGATTAAAATGTAGTTGCAGTTTTTAGTAATTTAAGGCTTTTTGATAAAGCTTGTTCTTCAAAAGTGATCTAAATAAGACGCTGATGTCTGTCTTTCTTTGTTTCAGGTGAAGTGTTTGACTACCTTGTTGCTCACGGACGAATGAAAGAGAAGGAGGCCAGAGCTAAGTTTCGGCAGGTGAGATCATTTAATATCTACGAGACTATCTGGTCCTCAATATCCCATAATGCACTGGTCACTTGCTTAATAGTGCATTCAGGATGTGCCAATTAAACTTGTCTTGAAGTAGGTTGAAGGTTTGGATAGCTTACTGGTTAAATACATGAGATTTAAAAGGAAACAATTCTGCATTTCCGTCTAAAGTCCACAATAATTTCATTTGAATTTATTATGTTGCCTTTATTAAATAGTGAAAGTGGCAAGAAAGATTGGGAGGGCTTAAAAAAACACAGGTACATTATGGTTCATTGTTAAATATGCCAACAGCAAGACCTCGAAAATATTTTAAGGACTACCACCGAACACCCTGTCTCTAATGTAGTCCATATAAGATTGTATACTGCATTATGTTCCATCTTCATGTTCCTTTTACCCACAATATTTGTTTTCATATTCTGTTATTTATGATTCGTGAGCAAGCTAAACTCTCCTGGTGTTTTTCGGTGATATTTTGCACACTTCCCTGCAGTTTCCTGTCTGTTGCAGCAGGTTTAGTGTTGGGCAGCCATCGTTATATTGCAGTGTCTCATCCTTCATGTTAGAAACCAGACCACAACGCCCCCCCTCAGGATAATTCAGCCTGCCGGTGTAACCGCTAATAAAACACATCGGCTTCATTATGGCCCATTAGCGTAGCGGCTAACAAAGCTGTTAAATCTGCCGAGCCGTGGTCAGCAAACAAAACCTCTCTGCTGTAATGTTATCTTTATGAGCAGCTTCCTATTTTATTCAGTTCATTATTATTTCTCAGCTGTTACTCCAGATATTTGTAATCAATTCTGTTTGTTATGTTTTGACTGATATAATATCTGTAAACTGTAACAGAGCTTGGTTTCTATATGTTATGAATTAGTGAGATTATGAGTTAGTTGATCCCTTCTTTAACACTTTGGTCCCTGTGAAATATTTGGGACAGCTATCAAATAGATGACATTCATGGTCCCCAGAGGAGGAATCCTAATAACCTTTTTGTCTCCTCTATTTGTCCAACATAGTCCTTACCAACGGACTGTATATAAAAGACATTTCAATATTCACATTGATGTCTCCTTTTGGTTTGTGGACAACCATTTTAAAGCCTGGAGTTTGGCTTTTGTAATGCAAGCTAACTAACACATGTATGCTCAAGTGAAAGCTCATCCTGACTACAGCCTACTCGGAGATGTCCCAAGACTATAAACCCTAACAGATTTAGATTAGATTAGATATACTTTATTGATCGCACATTAGAACATTGTTTTGTTACAGCAGCTGGCTGACAAGGCAAAACATGAGCTTTTATCTGGTGCCCATTGCAACAATCAAACAGGACAGACTTTAAAGAAATCAACTAATAGAGAAGTTGTCTCTGTGTGTGTGTGTGTGTTGTTGTTGTTGTTGTTGTTGTTATTATTTTCTAATGATTTAGCATCTTCTTCCATCACTCTGTGTTTGTGTCAGATTGTGTCAGCAGTGGAGTACTGCCACCAGAAGAGGATTGTCCACCGAGACCTCAAGGTACACACACACACACACACACACACACACACACACACACACACACACACCCACACAAACATGTTGTGTTTCTAATCCAACTATTCTCTTTTGTTTACTTGCTTCAATTTATATAACTGCTTTATTATAACTGATGATGTCTGACTTCCTTTTGTAATTATTGATGAATAAAGTGTTTTAAAATATAAATCTCTCTGTGTGTTCCAGGCAGAGAACCTGCTGCTGGACGCCGACATGAACATTAAGATCGCAGACTTCGGCTTCAGTAATGAGTTCACGCTGGGCAGTAAGCTGGACACCTTCTGTGGGTCCCCTCCCTACGCTGCTCCTGAACTCTTCCAGGTAAACACTCGGCTCCACCCACCACACATGTTATACAGACACATTTACACATGTTGCATATATGTCACGTTTGACATTTACTTTTTTTTAAATTTAGATTGACTTTGTATTGTTGCATTTCATTCATGTTATTTAAAAAGAAACAATGCTTTTGAGAGAATAGGAGACGCCTTTGATTAAGGAGTTTTATTGTATACAATCGTTAAGATGGAAGAAGATGGATGAAAATGTGTCCCAACATATTTAAGATAATACTTTCTAGCTGAAGATGCAAATATAACTTTTTAAACCAAATTGTATTTTTTAAGAAATCATCCTGAAAATGCAGCACCTGAAGACAGTAAGGTGTGTTAGGGTGTCGTAGAGCTGTGGGCTGCTGGGTAATGTAGTTCTGTACCTCTTTAGGGGAAGAAGTACGACGGGCCGGAGGTGGACGTCTGGAGTCTGGGAGTGATCCTCTACACGCTGGTCAGCGGCTCGCTGCCGTTCGACGGACAGAACCTGAAGGTGTGGACAACATTTTAGAAACACGTTTTAAAACAGTAGAAACACATTTTAATAATGTTAAAAACTCCCAATTCACCACTCACTTGTTAGAAACAGGAGTAAAATACTTTTTCTGACAAACTGCTGCTCAGAGTCAAGAATAAACCTTTACATATGAACTCAACTCGGTGTTATTTCAGTGGTTATAACCTACATTTAATAAGTACTGTTTTTTTTGAGGTACCTTTTCTTAAGTATTTCCGCAGCTTAATGTACTCAACACATCTATTTCATTTTAAGTTTTAACAATGAGGAGTTATAACAAGAGGTGTGTGTGTGTGTGTGTGTGTGTGTGTGTGTGTGTGTGTGTGTGTGTGTGTGTGTGTGTGTGTGTGTGTGTGTGTGTGTGTGTGTGTGTGTGTGTGTGTGTGTGTGTGTGTGTGTGTGTGTGTGTGTGTGTGTGTGTGTGTGTGTGTGTGTGTGTGTGTGTGTGTGTGTGTGTGTGTGTGTGTGTGTAGTGTGTGTGTGTGTGTGTGTGTGTGTGTGTGTGTGTGTGTGTGTGTGTGTGTGTGTGTGTGTGTGTGTGTGTGTGTGTGTGTGTGTGTGTGTGTGTGTGTGTGTGTGTGTGTGTGTGTGTGTGTGTGTGTGTGTGTGTGTGTGTGTGTGTGTGTGTGTGTGTGTGTGTGTGTGTGTGTGTGTGTGTGTGTGTGTGTGTGTGTGTGTGTGTGTGTGTGGTAGGAGCTGAGGGAGCGTGTTCTCAGAGGAAAGTACCGGATCCCCTTCTACATGTCGACTGACTGTGAGAACCTGCTGAAGAAGCTGCTGGTGCTCAACCCGGGGAAACGAGGCAGCCTGCAGGTAACCCCGGCAACAGGGAGTAGAACCAGCAACCACAAACCCTGCGTTGAACTCATAAACCACCACCAAAAAAAAAAAAAATTGTGTCATTCTGGATCCTAGACTATACCTATCACATCACCGCTCTTTATTACTTCCACTTCAGAGGTTGTGTTTTCCGCGAAGTTTGTTTGTAGCGGTGTTGTGAGATCACGTTGTGTGGCTCTGCATTGTTCAGACAACAATAGGATTTCAGGAGAAGTGTCTTTTTACATTTGCTGAATCATTTCAGTCATTGTTATTGACTCACCTCATTCAGCGCTAGGGAGCAGTTATGGGACTTCCACATACACAAAGCAATATATCAGGTGGAGACTCCCACACAGTTAGTGCCTCTTGATTAAAACTGGACCCCGAATGTCTGACATCTAAATGAAACCACTCCTGTATTGTGTTTGTCTCTCAGCAAATCATGAAGGACCGATGGATGAATGTCGGCTACGACGAGAAGGAGCTGAAAACATACAACGAACCAGAACAAGACTTCAACGACCTCAAACGCATAGGTCAGACACACACACACACACACACACACACACACACACACACACACACACACACACAATACATTCCTGTTAGGCTGCTCCAGACGTCCCATAATCCTCTTTGTTTGATCATGTTACTCTATTATCTGGAGGCAGCCAATCGATGGAATTTGATATATTTAAGTATCTAATTTATTCAACTTAATATACTACATTACGTACATGTGTTGTCATTGAAGTGCACAGAAACGGACCACTCACAACAGTTATATGTATATATCTGCCATTAGAGCTATCAATGTCTTTCGGTTGACTGCAATATCTCAACGAAATGTGGATTGTGAGGATATTAAGTTCAAGAAAATATTCCCCCTCAGGATGAGCTGTAATAACTTTAATGATCTTCTGATTTTTCATGTAGTGCCATCAACTTATCAACATTTAAACGTGTTCACGACTAGTTTTTGACCAAATATGTGCTCTTGAACTCTGTTAAAATATGCTAATTTGAGCATGCTAACACACTTAACTTAGATGGTGATGATGGGAATTATTAATAAAATCTTCCTGACCAATCAGAGCTGATGGGGACGATGGGCTTCTCTCAGGAGGAAGTGAAGAAGGCGCTGGAAGGTCAGAAATACAACGAGATGACGGCGATATACCTGCTGCTGGGGAGGAAAAATGCTGAGGTTTGTTCAATAAACTGTTTTACATTCAGTCAAATCTTCCTGGTTGCTCAAGAATCTCACATTTTGGACATCATTTAGATTTCGGATACAATTTAGATACATTTCTGTTAAGGCTATGTTAGCACAAACACTAGAAGTAAGCCTAACTTCATCCAGTACTGTATGTTGCATGTTTTTATTTGATTGTATTTACTTGTTTAAAATGAAATGTGTCTTTAGGTTGACTTACAAAATCTGTCCAGGGACTACAGATGAAACATAGAAATGTTACAATAACAACAATGTTACAGAAATGTTGATTAATGTGCACTGTCGAAAAATCAACCTTCGGTCGACCTCTGTCTGTAACTGAGCAGGTCTTTTACCCAGAATCCTCTGCTGTGTCTCTCTCAGTCTGAAGGCGGTGAGACTCTGTCCAGTAACCTGCTCCAGAGGTCACGACCCAGCAGCGACCTCAACGGCTCCAGTCAGTCGCCCGCACACTCTCGCAACACATCGACCAATCAGAAGCAGCGGCGCTTCAGCGACCACGGTGAGTTTCTGTCCAGGCGTTAACCGCAGTGGTCAAAATCTCATAAAGGGTTACAGCGGATCTTTAAAAGTCTTAACACGTGTTGAAACCAAAAAGACACACGTTTAAGCCAAAACAAAAGGCAACATTGGTTTTAAAATATCTCTGAAAGAAAGACCTAAAGTATTTTAAAATGCTAACCAAGTAGAATGGTATTTATTTACTTAAAACATTAATTTGTTTTGTTAGTAATCCAGAGAATTCCTCTTGCATTATTGTCACACAGATCAGGATAGCAGAACCAACAACACTCATATTTTGCTAAATAAAATTGGGTATTTAAGCAAAGATTTTGGGCTTGTCTGAAGGGGTTAGGAGCAGGTAGAGGCACGGTGCATTTTAGTAAAAGACTAAGGTTACTTTTAATGTCTCACATGGGAGAGACCTGTCTCTGAGAAATAGAAATTGCTGCTCCAAAGTCCAGATTGCAACTGTTTTGAAAAGTCTTAATATCTCTTTCTCCCTGTTACAGTCTTTATTCTGCACTAATAATAAAGGCAACAAGCTTTTAAAGTCTTAATGTAACTTGCCCAAAGCTGTATTAACGTCACATCATATTTTATACATATTTTTATATTTATTTGTATTTTTGTATTCGGGGATTGTGGGAAACGGTATTTCGATCTCTCTGTCTGTACACACAAACTGAAAGATTGACAATAAAGGTGACTTTGACTTGACTTTGACTTGATCCGTATTCTCTCTCTGTCTCAGTGGCGCCCTCTATCCCCCCTCCTGTGTCCTACACCAAGCGTAGTCATGCCAACAGCGTAGAGAGCGACAGGAAGGAAGGGGCGGCATCGCCCACGGGGGCCCCGGACCGCCGGAGGTCAGCCACCGCCTCAGGGGTGAGAGGAGTCACTGTTTCTGCTCCAAACCTGGTCCTCGTACATGTTCTGTTCTTTAGAAGGATCCTCATTAGCACTAGCATGAGCATTGGCTATTCTTCCTGGGGTCCTCACACACACAAGACATACATAAAACTAAACTAAACAGCTCATCATTTCATGCAATTTACAATGCTATATGAGGTGAAAACTAAAATCGTCATCCAATGTTAGCCATCATAAGGCCAAACAAAAAAATACTAATAAGTGTACATAATATGACATACATAGCCACAGGCTTCAACCTTTTGAAATATACAGATAGCAAGTTTAAAACCAGTGTTAAAAGTCAAACAGTTATGTTAGTACCCTCTGTTGTTGAATCAGGAGATCACACGTACATGTATACTTTCTTGTTAACGCAATATCTAAGGAACACTTTGAGTGCATGTATTCACATTTGGCTAAATTGTCCTCTTAGAGGATCAACGATGAACTGATTACTACTTGTTGGTCAAAGATTGAGATTACTGTGACCTAACTAAATATGTGTTTGGGGTCATGACTCAATCATTCATATGCTAATGTTAACATTGCACTCAGATGTCTAATGTGAAAAAACAAGCCGTCATTGATGGACATGAACACACAAGCTGGTAATTCTGAATTCTGTATATATGTATACATTCCTACATTTGGGCTCTTTAAATAAATAATTAGCTTACAGTAATTAAGCACTTGGTAACATGCTTGTTTATGAATAAAAAAAACGTCATTCCCCTTACCCTTGTTGACAGAGATCACAAAAGAATATCAAAACAACAACAACAACATCCATGACAGCACATAGCTTAAAAACAGAGAAACATAATTTGGAAAACGAAAAGGAAATCAGGTGCAAGTAAAATAAAAAGTGCCAAATGTGCTCATATGAAAGGATATGAGTTTAAGCAGCTAAATAATGCATACCAAGATCAGATCATTCTGATTAAACTCCTGTTATATCTGAGTTTGTGTCCAATCAAATCGTTCCATTGACTTTGTATGCCGTCATGCCGCCTTTTTAAATGTGCCTCGTGTTGTACAACGCAGGTCAAGTGTTATCCACACTTATGTCTATTTCTGTCAGTCTGTAGATTAGACTTTCTACCAAACATGATTCTGTATCTCACTCGGTGCTGGAGGAGTGGAGCATTCATGTTCTGTTTTTGTATCGTCCCTTTTACTGCTGTGTTGTTTGATCAGTGTGATAAAGCTGACTGTGTTACAGAACATAACTCGGAGGAACACGTACGTTCACGAGAGGACGAGCAGCGACCGCCACTCGGCTGCTGTGACCAACGGGAAGGACAGCAGGTGAGAAGGATTCTGGGAGTTTTTTCATTGATCACATTGCTGTTATTCTGTATATCAATAACCAGGGATGTGCATTTTGGAGGGCAGGAGCTCAAGTGAGAAAAAGGGCACTTCCCGTAATCATTTATAAAAAAATGTTTTAGAACAAAAAGTTAAATATAGTTGCACATCTCGGACTTACTGACCAATTTATTTTAATACCCTCACACTCACGCAATTGTTTAAAACAGAATTCTTCAAAATAATCAGTTAACACAGAGACAATGGCCTTCTTTAGTATTCACTACGCACAAGAGCAGACAACAACAAAGGAAGCTATGCCACAATGTGCTACTATGCTACTAGTTAAAATTGCTATAATAATTAGTTATTTTAGCACAACAATAAGTCCTTCGAATAATTTTTGTGGTATTAAAATGAATAGCACTTCAAAATAGGGAGAGAGAGTAGAGAGTGCATGGGAACTTGACAATCTAATCTCCCGACCTGATATTTTTATTTTTTATTCAATCAATATATCTTTGGAAAGGGAAACTGTGTGCAAACAGGAGTAGATATATATTCATTAATAATTAAAAAAGCACCCCAAAAAAGGGCACTTTCTTTGGAGGAAGGAAAAGGGCAGGGGCTCAAGCCCACTTTGATGTCTATGTGTGCACGTGCCTGTCAATAACTAACCTGTGTGTGTGTCAGTCTACCTGAGGTTCCTGCAGCGTCTCCCTCTCCATCGCCGGGGAAAACCATCTCCACTCGTCCCCGTCACGTGAAGTCCATGTCGGCGTCGGGACATCCCATGAAGTCCTGCCTCCCCCCCATCGACGACAACGTGGAGTATCAGAGGTCAGTACAGCTGGGGAGTAATATACATTTACATACACTTTGGTAACATTGTATTTATTTAAATATATTTACATTATATTTCTTTAAGCTGATCATCCAAAGCGATTTACAATGATCAGAGATGGCAAAGGTAAACAGATCCTTTACTCAAGTAGAAGTACAGATACTCGTGTTTAAAAATACTCTGGTAAAGTAGAAGTACTGACTAAACTTCTTTACTCAAGTAAAAGTAAAGAAGTTTGGGCTTTGAAATGTACTTCAGTAAAAAGTACCCATAACTAGCAGCTGTTTTAAAGAGTACCTGACCTCCCTTTATATTAATAGAACAATAATGTCATTGTTAGCTAATGAATGTTTCCATGCTGAACAACGGCAACATGACAACGTTTTCATTGGTCCCTCTTCTTTAGAGAAGACCAGGAAATGATGGATACACGGATCGTGTTCAAATCAATAGGCACGCAATGACTCTAAATAATAATGATCACGCCACCAAACACACATTCAAACTAAAGGAACCAGCCTGTTTGGAAAATGTAAGAAGTAGAAAGTACAGGTATTTGTGTTCAAAATGTAAGAAGTAGAAAGTACAGGTATTTGTGTTCAAAATGTAAGAAGTAGAAAGTAGAAAGTGGTCAGAAAAATAAGTAGTGGAGTAAAGTACTGATACCAGACAAATGTACTTAAGTACAGTAATGAAGTATTTGTACTCCACTCCTTCACACCTCTGACAATGAGTGAAGCATAACGATGAACAATACATGAATCGTGCAAGTACATTAACTTTGAATGAGCCAAACTATTTTAACTACATATAGGAATGGGAAGTAAGTCAAGTAAGAAGGGGGATTTCAGTCTGCGATAAAATACTTTTTTTTCCCCAATGTTCAAAGGGAGCTTGTTTCACTATGGCTCAATTTCCGTCCCTACCCACTTCCTCTCCAGTTGTGTGTGTGCATGGAGGGTCTGCCCTTCCAAACCAACTAGTAGGAAATGGAAGTTATTACACCCTCTAACAGGAAGTCTGCCTCCGACCTGACCGTGTGCAACGCTGTTTGTGTCCGTCGTGAAACAAGCTGTGTACAAAAAGTTCCGTGCATACATTTTCTAACAGGTTTAACAGCACAAAATAAGACAGACATGTTTTATTGGCACACAGGTGTAAACAACTTGAAGGCTATATAGTCCTTCAATTTGTTTAAACTGAGGATCATAGATACCTGTGTCTAAACTAGAAAATGGTAGACGAATGCATTTGATGTAAAGTTTTGTATATTTACAGAGACTGTTACAAAAATCCAGCAGCTCATTAACATTCAATCTTATATACGAGAAGAGGTTTTCAAAAATGAAAGAAACAGAATTAAAGATTTTTATTGTAATAGTCATTTATTACATTTTGTCTGAAAGTGCTGTTTTTAGTCCACGGTCAAGTAAGTTCCTGTTATTGCAAGAGAGAGGGAAGTTTGTCCTGAAGCTTGCCGCTTTTCTTTAATTACAACTTTCAACACAAGGCAATTAAAGTGCTTTACAAAACAACCAAAAACATTAAGAATAATGCTCAATACACACACACAGACAGAAATAGGCTTACAGCTAAAAAAAACAAAGCTGAAAAGGGTGAAAATGTTACTGCTATGTACAGATTTAAAGTACATACTAAAAAGTGGAGTGGGAGCGGGTATTTGTAGGTTTGGAATCAGAATCAGAATACCTTTATTCTTCCCACAGAGGGGACATTTTTTTAGAGCCAATAAAAAGAGCCAAAGACAGCTTGATGTTAACTAGTTAATTAGCATGCATACAAAAAACGACATAATTTACACTACAGAATACACATCCTGTAACAGTTCTGAAGATGTAGCAGCCAGGTATATATCAGAATCAGAATCAGGTTTATCACCAGATAGGTTGACACGTACGAGGAATTTGACTCGATGTCGTGGTGCATACATCAAAGTAAAACAAGAATTAAAAACACAGATAGAGAACTAGAAAAATAGTAAAAATATAGTCAAATATAACAGTATATATATATATATATATATATATATATATATATATATATATATATATATATATATATATATATATATATATATATATATATATATATATATATATATATAGAAATGGAATGGAATGGAATAAAAAGGAAGAACATATGGAATAAAAATCGGCAGTAAAAAAAACAGATATTGTTGTACATTGTGTGCATTAATGTACTATTGCACAGTTATTAATGCCATATATATATATATATATATATATTGCACATATTGGGCCTTTGTTAACATCCACCTCTTCCCCCCCCTCAGCTCCCCCCAGCAGCCCCCGCCCTCCTCCCCCTCAGCGTTCAGCATCACCAGCAGCAGCAGCACCACCCCGGATCGGACCCGTTTCCCCCGCGGATCGTCCAGCCGCTCCACCTTCCACGGCGCTCAGCTGCGAGACCGCCGCTCCGCCACGTACAACGGCCCCCCCGCCTCGCCCAGCCTCTCCACGCACACCGCCGCCTCGCTGGCCTCCGCCCGCCGCGGCACCTCCACCTCGCTCATCGGGAAGATCACCTCCAAGTTCGTACGCAGGTCAGTGAGAGCCCAGAAGCTGTAGGAGTATTTCCGTTGACTCCTTTAAAAGCAAACTCAAAACCCATCTCTTCGCATGTGTCGTCCTTCCATCAACATTACCATCACTTCAGTCACATGCTTTTATCTCATGGCAATACTTATGTTGATGTATAATGTTGTATAATTTTTATGCTTTGACGTTTGTATTTGGTGTTTGTATTGGCATTTATTGTGATTTGGGGCTATAATACAGTAGTAGTAGTAGTAGTAGTAGTAGTATTTTTATTGTACAATGCCATGTCTTTTTATGCTGCTGCAAAGCAAACATTTGCCAAATTGGGATCAATAAAGTACTCTATCTTATCTTAACATTTATTTTACCAATTAAGATTTGAAAATGATGACGGCACTCTTTGAAGAGAGGTGCCCCTTTAACGCTGTGTCTTTGTTGCGTCTCTGTCCTCCAGGAGTTTATCAGGTGAGCCTAAAGAGGAGGGGCGGGACTCCAAGCCTCGTGCGCTGCGCTTCACCTGGAGCATGAAGACCACGTCTTCCATGGAGCCGGGGGACATGATGAAGGAGATCCGCAGGGTCCTGGACGCCAACAACTGTGACTACGAGCAGCGCGAGCGCTACTCCCTGTTCTGCGTGCACGGAGACGCGCGGCAGGACAGTCTGGTGCAGTGGGAGATGGAGGTGTGCAAACTGCCCCGACTCTCACTCAACGGCGTGCGCTTTAAGAGGATCTCCGGCACGTCCATCGCCTTCAAAAACATCGCCTCCAAAGTGGCCAACGAGCTCAGGCTGTGAACAACTTCCAGTTATTCATCGAAGGAGAAAAGACCTCTGTGGTCCTCTTTCTTCACAGAATGACGCCCCACCAAGTGACGGCGGACATGTTGTGTTCAGCGACTCTCTAACTGCTGTATGACTCAGAGAAAACACACATTATTATACTCTACACACTTACTATTTAATGTTATCACTAAATGTTTGCCAGTGAAACCAAATATTAAAGCTGACGGTGCAGATTTCCAGCAGGTTGTAGTTCACCCCTCAGTGATGAGATCCAGAGCAAACAGCAGGAGGATGTTTCCATCTGTCCTCTCCTGCTGCGGCGACACTCTGTTGGTTTATCACTGTTTACATGCACTTCAGATTTTTACGAAACCTTGGAAACTGAATTTTAAAACATTGTGTAAAGTGGAAACACGTCACGCGAGCTAAAGCTGATTAAACAGGGAGAGATTTGTTGGAGAAACCTGAAGACTTCCACTTTTACTTTTGCGATTTGCATGTGGGAATATTAAAGAAGCTGTTCGCAGCAGTGTTTTTAAAGAAGACCAAGCTATGTCATCTGGAGTGTTAGAGGCTTAATATCATTGCTGTGCATGTAGACATATTATCAGCTTTCGCCTTCGGTTTGCTAACAGTACCTTTGTCTCTGGAGTGCAGGTAAACAGTGGAACGTGACCTCCGCTCTACCTGTGCAACTCTCCTGCTGCAACAGAAGAACACTAACTGTGAGTCCGCAGCTACAGAGTCAGCAGGCCAAGTGTGTGAACTCATGCAAGGAATTTAACTGCGATTTTTCATTGCTCTTAATACATACACACACACAGAACAGCTAGAAAACAAAGCTGGAAAAGGTGAAAATGTTACTGCTATGTACAGATATAAATACATACTAAAAAGTGTCCAGCGTTTCTCGTCTTACTTTGACAATGGCTAACAGAGATTTTAAAAAAACAACAGTATGATTCAGACACCTAATGTATTTGAAACTACTAATTTAATGATATACACTTCCCTTAATTCAATGTTGCATGATAGGGGAGAATACTGTTTGAGCTTGGATTGGGAATTTGTGTGCATGTCCAGAAAAGCACTAGTGACCCTCAATCATTATCAAGCCGCAACGGTAGCCCCCAAAAAGGTGTCATCGGACCATCAAAGAAAGTATTCATGATCATTATGGAGCCACAACGGTGCAATCGGGCCTTTTGCAGTCTACTCAGTGGTTGGATTACATTTAGAAGAAAAATCTGAGCACAAGTATCTGTTCTATAGGTTGGCTTTTTCTTATTGGCATATGAAGTTCACAGAAATAGATTCAGCTGGAAACTAAAAACAAATGTCTTTGTACGCAATTTACAAAAAAAATATTCAAACTTGATCTGAAGAGTAGAAGTGAAGATGCTTCTGTGCAAATCTTGAGGTTTTTTTTCTTTGAATTCATGACACAGAAAAGGAGGAGAGCGGAGACCCTTGACCAAGACCACGCTCTATATCGCAAATGTTGACAATACTTTTTGCATCCACCTCGTGATCCGGGCCCGGTCCAAATTTGATGCGTTCTTTTTTTGCCAATGCTTCACACTTTGACAAAATGTCTTGAAAATGGGACCAGTAGTTTTTCTGTAAACAACAGACAAACCACCAAAACAAATTTACCGAAAACATGACTTCCTTGTCGGAGGTAGTAAGACAAAAAACAGGAGATTCTGGTGATTTTAGGACCAACAAAACAGAGACAAACACACCATTACCCAGTTGTATGTTCTTTGTCTGTAAAATCAGTATTTCAGCTTTAATTTGTTGTGAATTAACTGTCAAACATTTAAACCTTCAATTCATTCAAACAAACTCTAGCACTAGCTCGCATGCTAAGGCAGGTTTAATTAAGTTTCTTTCTCGCAAATGTTGGTGTCACCTGGTCATTGTATTGAAAAGCTTTTTAAAAAATAACATTGTTGGTTTTCCCTCCTGATTTTAAAGTCCATCATTCGGGTTCTTTATGTGAACCATTATCTTGATGCTGACGTTTGCTGCAGATCTCCGTTTGCACAGTTGAGTTGCACAGTTTACAGTGGAGGTTATGAAGAGTGGTAAACAACCAGGAGGTGACAACATCCTCCCTGTAGGTTGAGAGCCTGTGACCTCTGACCTCCCCTGCTGGCTCATGTTATTACTATTGCAATAATACCGGAGCTCTTGGTAAATGATGTCAGTGGTTTAAACTCAACCTGTAACGCTTTATTAATCTTTGTATTTTACACATTTACAGCTGACAGACCGAATGTGTTTTTATTATTTTGTTATTATTGCTGTGTACAACGATACCTGTCCAGGTGAATATGTGCAGGTACAGTATTGATTAGTCTGTTTATTTGGTCCACACTGTCTCCATTCTGTGTTGGTTTTCCACCTCTGAAAATACAACTGCATTATTTTTTGTCCAAAGCCTTTAGCAGTGAGATAAAACTTGGAGCATCAAAACATTGAGCAAACACATTTCCCCTGTTTTAGGATCAGTCTGGTGTTTTCAATCTGTTTCTGAAATGTTCCTTTAGGCTGATTCCTGGTAGATATTTCTAAATGTATTCCACCACTAAATGCCTTCTGAATGTACTGCTTTGTATTTCTGATTGCATTCAGTTGTACCAGAGGAAATGGAGCAGTTTGTGGTTTTAAGTTGTATATTTTGAGTTGTCCCCCACTAATCAACAGAGCCTCTAACTAGCTCTATTGTCTCTGCAGTCTCGAGGTCCTGAGGGTTCACCGTGCAATGGTTCTCCATCACTACTGAAACTGGAGAACACTTTGTACTGTATGTTGTAGCACTTAAAACCAGGAAGGGAACAAACAATGCAAACCTCACGTCCCTGTCTGACGGGGATGAGAGAGGTGACAAGGTGTGAATATGACGCTGCCTTCACGTCACCTTGGGAAGGACTGTAAATCTGAGCCTCTTACTTGAAAATAGCCTTCGCCTCAGCTTCCAGATAGAAACTCTTACCATGTGACCGGCAGGTTTGTCAGGCACGTCATTAACAGGAAAGTAGCAGAAATCCAGTGTAGCCATGTTCATTTCATTTTAAATAAAAAACACAAATAAAACATGTTCAGAGTCGTTTTGTGATCGCCGCTGAAGGATGAAAATACTGTTATTTGTAAATTGTATAATGTTTAATGACATCATTTTTAAAGTGATTATTTCTACATTATATTCCACTGTAGCAAAAACATTACAGATGTCAATTATGTTTTAACTGTTCGAATTCTTCATTAGGCTTTCCTTCTGCAGCAGGTCCAGTGAGTTGAGCACTAAATGCATATTCAAGTACTTTCTGTTTACTTCTCTCTTATATTTTAGAACAACAATTCTAGAAATGTTCTAATATTTCCTTGGAAACATCACTGTTTTTGTTGAGATATTGGCAGGCTGGATGCAAACTGTTGTAAGGCCTAGCCACCGTAACTGATGCCTAGTTTTGCAAGGCCTTGAATGTAACAGACATATTTGTTTTACATAAAAGTTCCGCAATTCCAGCGTTAAGCATAATGGATAAAAGTATCCCCTCATGCAAGGTGAGTATACATATTTTTAAATGTGTAACAGGGCTGGCCTTATACTTTATTTTCTAATATGTTTCATGAGTTTCAGCAGCAACATGATTGGTTAGCTAAATTGCTAATGGCTAGCTAATTAGCCAATATGCTAAACGGGCTCTAGAAAGGGAAGTGTGTGTGTGTGTGTGTGTGTGTGTGTGTGTGTGTGTGTGTGTGTGTGTGTGTGTGTGTGTGTGTGTGTGTGTGTGTGTGTGTGTGTGTGTGTGTGTGTGTGTGTGTGTGTGTGTGTGTGTGTGTGTGTGTGTGTGTGTGTGTGTGTGTGTGTGTGATCAATATTTCGATGCTAACTTGCCCGTAAACTATGCTATTTAATATGTATTTTAAATCATTTCATAACACACACAAAAAATGTGCCACATCATTTTATATGTAAATAGAAGATACATTTTTTTATCAATAATTATGACATTGTTTTAGTGTTTTTTCTGTGTTATATTAATATTGTTAGGAAAATAAGACACTCTATTTTTACTGAATTAGTATTTAGTATATTTGTCTTCCTAATTAAACAGATTTCAGTGTTTGGTTCCTTCCTTCCTCCTCACTCAAGCTAGTCATCCAGATCACTTCTGTGCAGGAACGAGCCCTTCGATGTCTCCATTGACCTCAAGCCTCTTCTCCATGGCGATGAGCAGTTTAACCCCATCCACCACCAGCTGGGTCAGACCCACCTCGCTCAGGCCGAAAGTCGCTGTGTTGCTCACACAATACAGCGCCGGGGATTCTGCAGAATATGAAAAGGCAAGTCATAAACAAGAGTAGTTGTTTTCGGTTCAACTGTGAGTTGTTCAAAAAGTACTTTAGATTTGATCCCTATGGGGGAGTTCAAGTCCATCTTAAAGGACAGAGAACAAGAAACCATTGGCCGATGTGATTGCTCTTATATCCCCTAATTGAAGTCGTTTTAAAATTGTGCCAGTTTTATAACAGTTTCTTTTATTTGCATATATACTGGTGTGCCATTTCATTTGTGTTTTACGACCGCTCTATTCGTCTGTATGGTTTTGTGTTCATTTGATGGAACATTGTTCATTTTGTCCTCTTGGCCAGGTCGCTCTTGAAAAAGAGATTTTAATCTCAATGAGACTTTTACCTGGTTAAATAAAGGATATATATATATTTATATCAACAACAGCAAACATGTAAGATGTCGAAAGTCAGAAGACAACGAAAGAGGGAATTAACAACATTAATGGTTTCACTTTTCCTTATAAAGTAAAAGTTGATTCCACCAAGTAATGGCTTAAGAATTATGACACAGTCCGCCTTTACAATGTCTCCCTATTAGCCTATTGCTTTTTCAGGATGCGATTGGGTTTACCGGTGGGTATTGTTTTCCCCTTCAAAATAAAATAAAGAGTACATTTCTGATAGAGAGCTAAATACGGACCTGCAGTTCATCAGTTCTCATCAGTTTATGTGATGAAACATGTCAGGTCTGCTCTGGTTACCTGTGGTGTCCATGCAGAGCCTCAGTCTCTTCAGGACGTCCTGCAGGTGGTTGTGTTTGGGGAGGTGTTGCAGTTTGAGCTGCACTCTGATCCTCAGACCTGTCCCCACGTCGGCTGGAGAGCTGCTGACCCAGCCCAGCTGCTGCTTCCAGGTGAACGGGTGTTTGAGTTCCCTGTAAAGATCCTCCAGCTGGAAACAGAGAGAGGAGCAAACAGTCAGAGTCTCAAAGGAGCGGGATGTCAAAGGTCATTTTTTACTGAAGGAACTTTTTCGAGAACAAGGAATATATCCTCCTCCACTAACACTGTTTTGAATGTGAGGATGTTTGTGGTTTTTCACTTTGCTTATTGGTAAAACACTGTGAAAACGTGCATTTGCAAATGATGGGAAGCCAAACCCTTACCCATACTGTGTGTCATTACTTGGAGATATATCGTATATAAAGTAAATCATAATTTGAAACACCAACAATTCAGATCTCCTTGATATTGACTGGGAAATCTGACGAGGATTTATCAACTTGTCAGTGATCACTGGTGGATTAGATTGGGATTTCATTGCTGCTATTTCTTGTTATCGGCCCACATTAAAGATGCTAAAGTAAAAATTCCAGCATATCTGGCATCAAAGGATTTCCTCCACACAGCTGAAGCGTTGGCTACCAGCCAATGATGCTAAAAATCAGACCCATCACTGACCTTCTGCAGGTTGATGCACATGCATTTGAATGCCTCGGTGATGTTGGCGTCGTCTCGTGTGGACACAAGTCTGAGATGGTCCTCCATGTTGACCCAGACCACCAGGCTGCCATCTTTACTCACCCTGCAGATAT